CGATCCGTCTGTGGAACATGGAGACCAGAACCTGCATCCAGGAGTTCACGGCTCACCGCAAGAAGTCCGACGAGTCCATCCATGATGTGGCATTCCACCCCACCAGGTGTTACATCGGCAGCGCCGGCGCCGACGCACTCGCCAAGGTCTTCGTATGACCCAAACCCGGGTGGACCGGTCAGGAACTTATGAGTCTGACGAGAACTTCTCCTTCAGAGCCCCTCACGTCTTCATCCCCGCCCCCTGCTGGTCCCGGGCTGGACCTGGGTCCGGCCCGTGTCCCAGAACCTCACAGACGGAGCGAATGGAAGCAGAGAAACGGGTCCAAAGCAGGAGAGTCTGGTACCGGAACCTCATTGGTACATGTGCCTTCCAGTTAGGGGTCAATGATCAGATCCATACACGCACGCACGCGAGCGCGCGCACACGCGCACGCACACACACACACACACACACACACACACACACACACACACACACACACACACACACACACACACGCACGCGCACACACACACACACACACACTCATCGCACTGAATTGAACCAGAACTTAGACTCAGGTTGAATTCTGGAATTTTCTGGGAACGATTAATCTGGTCTGACCCATCCGTGTGGTTTCTCTGGGTGAACTGGACCGTTTGATGGATCAGGCCTGGCCCTGTCTCCTCCTCCTGGTTCTGAGTGGTGTTCTGGACCGACCCGGTGGAGAAGAATCTTCCAGACGAGCTGCAAAGGAACTCCAGCAGAGAAGCTTTTGTTTTTTGGGTTTTTTGGTTTTTTTTTTTAGATTTTATTTATTAAGAGGCCAAATGAGACGCTAATCAGCTGATTGTTGTAAATCTTTGATGCTTTCCTCTCCGGACCGACAGATTATTTTGTGTAATTTTTCCGACTCGGATCACTGGTTTTCTAAACGTGTTTGGTGACGGATGCTTCAGCAGGTCTTTTTTTTATTGTCTTACTTGAAGTGAAGTTTTATTTTTGCTGGTTTCAGCCGCAGTTTCCTGTCGAGTTTTTATTCAATCCGTACGTCAAAAGAAGAAACTGCGTTTGTGGTGGACTTTTAACTACAAAGTCATTTTTCCTCATATTTCTAAATGAGCGTAAAGAACAAAGTTAATCTGAGTAGAAGCTGAGTTTCCTGGTTGTTGCTTCCCGTGGTGATGTTCCTGTTTGATCCTGAATGTTCTCACTTCCAAAGTGTTACCAAAGCGTTTGTTTCAGGCAATAATGGAAATATGCCTGGTCTTTCAAAAGACAGAGCAAAAAACAAAAGCTCAAGGTCATTTAGAGGTTATTACTCCAAACGTGATTCAGCTAAGACTGAGTGGAATTCAGCACCTTAATGTTATCTGAATAAACTTCTTCCCGCTTCAGCGAGTCTACCTGTCTGGATTTTGGCTGATCAGCTGGTCTCTGGGGATTCTGGAGAAATGTCAAACTTTGATTTAAAATAATTTTAAAGGAGAGAAATCCTGAAATCAGAGATGTGGCTTTTTTTTGGTGAAATTTTAACATCTAAATGATTTTACTGAAGTTCAGAGATCAACGTAAAAATAAGTGATTTAAAGTTTCACTGCGAACAAAACTAACCAGACAGAACCTTCTGGTTCTGGTTCAGAGATCTGAACCGGCAGATGTTTGTCTCAAAAACATCAAACATTTGTCTAATGTTGCTGTGAGCTAAACAGGTGTGGTTACCATGGTAATAAAGAGCCCTTGGAAGCAGCTTTAACATTTCTATTGGCTCTTTACATGTCTGATGCAGATGAGTCTCAGATGCATTTTTATTTATCAATTCAATTTAGGTTTATACCGTTTATACACCAGATCAAGACGAGAGTCGCCTCAAGGCACTTCACAAAGTAAACCTTCCAAATGAGTTCAGTTTATTATGCAAATTAGTTAATAGTTTCCTATGTAAGGAAATCCAGCAGATTGCATGGAGTCACTGACTAATATCAGAGACTTTACAGCAGTCCACATACTAGGCAAGCATGTGGCGTCAGTGGAGAGGAAAACTCCAACATAACCTGGCTCATTATGAGCAGCCATCTGCTGTGATTCGCTGGGGGTTGGAGAAGACAGAGCAGACACACACACACACACACACACGTCAAAATGTTTGTTGAAAAATATTGCTGAAATTTCAGTCAGACCTTTTAACATTTAAGCGGTATAATCAAATTAAACACTTAATATTACTATTACGATCAAACTAAATGAAAACTTGTTTCCAAATGTGGCTCACGTGTAATTCAGATGATTTATATGCTGTTGTAGTTTACTTCCTCACATCTCAGTACCTCGGGACAGGTTTGATTCGTTCTGGAATCCGATCTGAACATTTCTGATCAGACCTCTTCATTACCATCCAGCAGGTGGCGGTGAAGGACCTCCAACCAGCATTAAAATCAGCAAAGAAGAATTGTCGTTGCTGCTATGCTCTGATTGGCTGTCGGGCCTGTAGTCCCCACACTGTAAACAGAGCCGAACCGTTTCAAAATCACCGTTCCGTTCCTATAAATGTTTGGTTTCAGGAGAAAGTCTGCTGTCACGAGCCACGGCTGAGATTAGTTGCCGTGGTAACGTTCGATCGATGTCACGCTTAAAACGACGGTGGCTGAAGTTTGATGACGGCAAGCTAACGTTAGCTTAAAGCTAAAACTCGCTATGTTTTTAATGGAGCTCTGTTCGGCTGCTCGTCTCCGTGTGTGAAAGCGGTTCGGTTCGAACCGGGGGCTTCCACGATGAGCCGCTCTGCGGTGTGACTGGAAGAGGATGGCTGCAGAGCTGTTCCCCACCAAGAAACTGGTGTCCTCCTCTATCCAGAACCAGCAGAACGTGAGCAACAACAACTCCGCGCAGGGCTGCTGCAGCTGGCAGGGCCTGTACCCGACCATCCGGGAGAGGTGAGTCCCAGGTGGGTCCGAGCTGCTGCTCAGCTCCGGATCCAGGTTCTGATGTCCTGAGTTTTAGGGTCTCACTCTCCAGGTGTGGTGCTGAAAGTCCCAAAGACTCCAGGTCCTCGCCGTCTGACCCATTTTTCTGTGATTAAACGGTTTTGAAAGAAAAAAAAAGTTGAAACTGACTTTTGAATTTTTTGAATATAAATGAATACAGTTTGGGTTCTACTAAAAAGATCGAGTTTAGTCTGATTTTCAGGGATCTTCATCCATTAATAAATAATTATAGTAGCCAGAAACAGGAAATGAGTTGCTTATGTTGAGAACATTAATATTTATGATCATGGACGTAATTTTCACTTAAGAAGTGGGGGTGTGGGGGGGGGGGGGGGGGAACACGGGTGTGTGTGTGTGTGTGTGTGTGGGGGGGGGGGGGAATCTTTACAGTATGCTCTAATGGGAAACAGGCTTTTCCACTTGGTCCTAGAGCTCAACCAGTGTCAATTTAATAAAGTGTAATATTGTTTTTGGATGGTAAAATGTGCAGGAGTCAAAACTTGACTTTGGAAAAAGTGGGGGGGGGACATGTCCCCCCTGTCCCCCCCCCACACATTACGTCCATGTTTATGATTGACAGAATATTTCTCCTGAAACGAGTTTCTTTGACCTGATGTCGGCAGGAACAGAACAGCTGCTAACAGATGTTGACATTTTAAAACAACTCTTCATTTTACTGTGGTGTTGTGGTTTAGTATGGGCCCGGTGTTGTGCTCAGGTACGCGTCCCTGCCAGCAGAAATGTGACTTAGTCTCTGTGTCACTCCTAAACCTGACCCAGAATCCTCTGGTTTGGGACATTTGCTTCCTGATTGTTGCTGATTGGTTCTGTGTTTGCAGGAATTCAGTCATGTTTAACAATGAGATGATGGCAGACGTTCACTTTGTGGTCGGACCACCAGGCGGGACACAGAGAGTCCCGGGTCACAAGGTAACCCTACTCTTCACACATCAACATTTGGTCAGCACGTTTGGTTGAGCTGAAGTGGAAATGTTTGTCTCCTTGACCCAACAGTACGTCCTGGCAGTTGGTAGCTCCGTGTTCCACGCCATGTTCTACGGCGAACTGGCTGAGGACCAAGAGGAAATCCGGATTCCTGACGTAGAGCCGCCATCTTTCCTGGCTATGCTGAAGTAGGTGGAGCTTTGGTTTGGTTTGTGCGGACTCTGAAGGCTCAGTGTGAACAGAGTCTTTTTCTGCAGGTACATCTACTGTGATGAGATCGATCTGTGTGCTGACACAGTGCTCGCCACCCTCTATGCTGCCAAGAAATATATCGTGCCTCATCTGGCCCGGGCCTGTGTCAACTTCCTGGAAACGAGCCTAAGTGCCAAGAACGCCTGTGTGCTGCTGTCTCAGAGCTGTCTGTTTGAGGAGCCAGACCTGACGCAGCGCTGCTGGGAGGTGATTGACGCCCAGGCCGAGCTGGCACTGCGCTCTGAAGGGTTCTGCGACATCGACGTCCAGACGCTGGAGAGCATCCTACAGCGGGAGACGCTAAACGCCAAAGAGATGGTGGTGTTCGAAGCTGCTCTGAACTGGGCCGAGGCTGAGTGTCAGAGACGAGACCTGCCCCCGACCATCGAGAACAAGCGGTTGGTCCTGGGGAAGGCCATCTACCTGATCCGGATCCCCACCATGGTGCTGGAGGACTTTGCCAATGGCGCGGCCCAGTCTGGTGTTCTGACCCTGAATGAGACCAATGACATCTTCCTGTGGTACACGGCCTCCAAGAAACCAGACCTTCTGTTCTGCACAAAACCTCGGAAAGGCCTGTCGCCGCAGCGCTGCCATCGCTTCCAGTCCTGCGCCTACCGCAGCAACCAGTGGCGGTACCGTGGCCGCTGCGACAGCATCCAGTTTGCAGTAGACAAGCGGGTTTTCATCGCCGGCTTTGGGCTTTACGGGTCCAGCTGCGGTTCCGCCGAGTACAGCGCCAAGATTGAGCTGAAGCGTCAGGGGGTACCGATGGCCCAGAGGATCATCAAGTTTTTTTCTGGCGGATCCAGCAACACCTTTCCGGTCTGGTTTGACTACCCGGTTCAGATCGAACCCGACACCTTCTACACAGCCAGCGTGGTTCTGGACGGCAACGAGCTCAGCTACTTCGGCCAGGAAGGCATGACAGAGGTTCAGTGTGGGAAAGTGACCTTCCAGTTCCAGTGCTCCTCGGACAGCACCAACGGAACCGGCGTGCAAGGAGGCCAGATCCCAGAGCTCATCTTCTATGCCTGATTGGGTTGGGTCCTGCTGTGGTTCTTCAGTCGTGTTAAGAAGTACCTGGGCAGCCAGGAAGCTCCTGGACTCGTCTCAGAACCCGAGGATGGTTTCTGAGGTGGAACACAAGCTAAGTTCTGCTGGTCCAGTTGATGAAGACTTGTGAGGTTTCTGCTCCTCTATGAACTCGACATGTTTCAGTCTTATTGACATCAGAACCAGCCTGTTGGGCTGTTTTCTGCGGTGGATGAATACAGAACCGGGTCTGATCTGCTAACTCTTAAATGAAGGAAACAGCCATGCAGACATCCTGTCATCGATCGATCAGCCTACTCCGTTACTTGGCCAGCAGCACATCAGAAACCCGAATTACAGGTTCTGGTAGTGATCGTTTAAACAATAGCAACAATAATGATAAATACCGCTGGGGTCTGAAACTCGGATGCTCTGAAATGTAATTTTGTTTTTTCTCATAAATACAAACTTTTGTCATGTTGATTTGAACTTTTCTAACAAACGCGGGGCTTTTCTTCTGGAGCAACACCAAACCTGGAGCTTCTGCACCGCCTACAGTTAAACACCTGGAGCTGAGAGGGTTCGGGTCCTTCTGAGGCTGATCTGAGACGCTGCCATGTGCAGCTCTACCTCTACAACGAGACCCCCCCCCCCACGCCCCCGTCGGGCTCACCATCCAGCCGTGGCACTGTTGCAGCTTTAACTGGATCATTCTGCCGTGTTTTCAGACTTTCACTGTGAGATGTTTGTGAAGTCTAGATTTTTCAGAAACTTGTTTTTAGTTTCATTTTAATTTTAGAGGCCTTAATGATTAAATGTTCACCTGTTAGGAACCTGAGGAACTGTCCTGCTGCTGACTGAAGGACTTTAAGCAGCAAGTCGGTGGTTTGAAACCTGTGCAGGTGTTCAAACGCTGAATGATCCATTTCCTGGCTGTCTGTGTCCATATGGTCGTCTGTCCGTCCTGAAGGATTTGAACTCTTCTGTTGTTGTTATTCTGTGTCTTGAATTATTGCTGTTTGGTTCTGACCCGTCATGCCTGGTTCTGTTTATGTAATCATTGAAAGTCATTTTCTGGTCTATTCCAGCCTGAATGTGTCGGTGGCCTTATCAGATTTGGTAATAAACTCTATAATGCTCCATCTCTGAGACTTGTCTGGTTTCTCTCCTGCTGATTTTGACTAATTTTTACCTGATTTTAGGTCATAAACACTTGATTCCAGAGAGCCAACAGCTAGAAACGTTTTTATTTGGGTTTTAAGGACCTGATGAAACAGGAAATAAATAAGTTTCCCAGCAGGATCGGATCTGATCCTGATCCTCCAATCCAGTTGGTGGCGCTAATGCACCAAAACAACCTTGACACCCAGAAGTTAAAAGGTTCAAAGTCCCCAAATCCGGATCTGTGCGGTTGTTTCTCCTCCGTCATGAACCGACTGAGGATCATTTCTGGACACCTGTGTCCCGCCGGCTCCTCCGAGCTTCGGCGGGACCTCCGGAGCTCAGCCTGCGGCTCCACGGCGGGATGCTCCGGGGAGGACGTGGTGGTGGTCCACGGGCGGAGGACCGCCATCGGACGGGCTAAGAGGGGAGGGTTTAAGGTACTGGGTCCGGAACCAACACCTTAGCAGTTATTTTTAGTTTGCCTGAGAAATAGAAACAAACAAAAGATGACTGAAACATCTGTAGAAACGTTCAGCTGTTGATTTGATCAGAAATATAAATAAAGGATCCTGATTTTTATTTCAGATGTGACACAAACTTTATTAGCCTCATAATTTACAAAATATTCAGATGATATTACTTAATATTCCGTCTGATTGAAAACAAACATGTTGGGTCTGATGCTACATTCATGTAACAAGGAAATGACCAAACCAACGCTCACCATCTGGTGGTTGTAGGCTAATTTTACCACGCCCATTGAACTACCCACCCCCTGTTGAGGCCCCGCCCACAACCACACAAACGTTTGGCCTCAGAATCTTAGCAAATCTCAAACCTCTTTTGGGACAAAAGTTCCCAGGTTCAGTTTTTCAAGCAGAATCTTCACAATCTCGGTCGGTTCTGTGTGAGGTAGACCCACCTGTCCTCCCACAGGACACCACACCTGATGAGCTGCTGAGCGCCGTGATGACAGCTGTGCTGACAGATGTTGGACTGCCTCCTGACAAACTGGGCGACGTCTGCGTGGGTGAGGTGGGGTGGGGGGTTGTTGAGACAGGATCAGCGGTAGAGATTTGGACCAGATCTGAGTTTAATCATCGCGTGTTCTTTCCACCTGCAGGAAACGTGTTGCAGCCTGGAGCTGGCGCTCTGATGGCCAGGGTGGCTCACTTCCTCAGGTCAGCTGATGGTTCATTATCTCATTAAAACGCTGAGCTCTGATTGGCTCTGATCACCGTGGAGGAAGGCTGGGACCCTCTGTGGAGAGGAAGCAGGATGTTTTTGTGATCCTAACTTCCCATTTCAGCGGTTTTCCAGAGACCGTTCCGGTCTACACGGTGAACAGGCAGTGCTCCTCAGGCCTCCAGGCGCTTCTTAATATCGCAGGTAACCCTCAGCTGGTGTGTTCAGGTCAGAGGTCATAGAGAGGTTAAACGATGTTCACTTCACACACACACACACACACACACACACACACACACTGACTGGTTTTCTGTTTCTTTAGGAGCCATCCGGAGCAGAACCATCGATCTCGGACTCGCCTGCGGGTCAGTTTCTCATGTCAGAATCAAAACACCAAAATAAAACCATGTTGGTACCGTGACCCCCAGGTTCAGGGTCACAGAAGGTTCTAGTTCTCCTAAATGGTAAAAAGATGATTAATAAACCAAACCGGATGGAGGCAGAGACGCCCTGAACACAAGGCCACCGTGGTCCAGAACCCCTCCTGATCCTCATCTCCCTGTTTTGCTAGCCGGTACCTTTTCAGAGGTTCTGACCCGGAGTTCTGCAGACCTTCTGAAGGAGTTTCAGATTTGGGTTTTGGACCTTTTGGCTGGCTTTTGATCCTGTTTCAATTCTAAACATTTTCAGAGGATTGTTTTTATCTTTAACCTTTGACCTCAGACAGAAAAAGGCTCCTAACTCAACACTGAACAGAACCGGTTTAAACTGGACCTTTAGTCCCTTTGATACCAGCGGCCTTTGTTCTTTAGTTGGATCAATAAAACCACCAATCAGAACCCGGTCTGAGAGGAACCAGGAACCTAATCAGCTGATTCATCCGCTGTTGTGTGTTCCAGAGTGGAGAGCATGACTCTGAGATCGATGAATAATCCTGGAGATCTGAGCTCCAGGCTTTCGGACCACCAGAAGGCTCGAGACTGCATCATTCCCATGGGGTGACACACACACACACGCACACACACACACACACACACACACACACACACAGCATGAAGATGACATCATCAGCTTTAGGTTTTTGTCCCCGTTAGCTGTGGTGTTTGTTTACATCTGATAGTACTGAATCAGCTGATTGTTGACCGTTTAAGTCTGAAACAAGTTGGTGTGTGTGTGTGTGCGTGCGTGCATGTGTGTGCAGCTTGACGTCGGAGAATGTTGCGGAGCGCTTTGGGATCTCCAGGGAGCAGCAGGACTCGTTCTCTCTCAGCTCTCATCAGAAGTAACTAAAACCAGCTTCCCATCTTTGACCTTTGACCTCGGAGTGTTTAATACACGTTACTAAATGTTGAACAGAAATGCGGGTCAGAACCGCTCCCTGTTTGGTTCCCACTCTTTGGTTCTGGTGAGTCCAGCTCCTGCTCCCTGCAGAACCTCTAACCTTTTTGTGCACACAGAGCGGCTCGAGCTCAGAACTCGGGTCGGTTCGACTCGGAGATCGTTCCCGTGTCCGTCACCTTAGTGGACGATGAGGGCAGAGAGCGCCAGGTGACGGTGAGTAAAGATGAAGGCATCAGAACCGGAACCACGCTGGCTGGACTATCCAAACTCAGACCGGCCTTCAAACCCGATGGCAGCACCACAGCAGGTCAGAACCTGACCCGAACACCGAAACCAAGCCCTTTAGCTGTCACACGCTCACACCTGTGTTACAGGTAACTCCAGTCAGGTGAGTGATGGAGCAGCAGCTGTGCTGCTGGGCCGCAGGTCTGCCGTAGAGGCTCTGGGTCTGCCGGTTCTGGGGGTTCTGAGAGCAAGTGCCGTGGTGGGGGTCCCTCCGGACATGATGGGAATTGGACCAGCGGTCGCCATTCCTGCAGCGCTGCAGCAGGCAGGTGAGACTTCTGAACAGTTGTAAGGTAATCTGATTACCTTTACTTTGTTTTTGATTACTTTAAGTCAGAAAATTATGCAAACTGGTTCCAACTAAGACTAAAGCAGACCTCAGTCTGATGGGTTACAGCTTTTAGGCCCGGTTTACATCCTCAACACCAAAAGGTTTAAAACACCAGAAACAGGAACTCCGTCTCCATGGTTACCCTCCTGATCAGGATGTAACGTTCTTCTCCTCAGGACTCCGCCTGGAGGACATCGATGTGTTTGAGATCAATGAGGCCTTCGCCAGTCAGGTGAGACCCAGACCCGGAACCGGCCAGGCCCGACCCAGAATTACCTTCAGTTTTCTCTGAAAGTTTCTCAGGTGCCACTGAACCTCTAAACCCCGTCTCCGTGGTAACGGAGGATTTAAACCTCGCTGTCTCCATCTCCATGGTAACGGAGGATTTACACTCGCTCCAGATCTTCTACAAATGTAGACGTGGCCTTTTACGGTGCTGCCGAGGAACTCGGCTCTAGAACAATCCGATCTGTTGGGTTCTGGACAGAGACATCTTCTAAGTTTGTCTCAGAATGACCCGATTCTGGTCCTGATTCTGGATCAACTGGTTCTGTTTCTTCACCCATTTCAGATCAGTGTGACTGTGTCCAGAACCGCCCAAGTTTAACCCAGATAGGATCAAGCTGAGCCAAGAGTATAGATGACCTTTGACCTGCTGCCTCCTGTTGGCAGGCCGTGTTTTGTGTGGAGAAACTGGGAATCCCGCTGGAGAAAGTGAATCCCAACGGGGGCGCCATCGCTCTGGGTCATCCTCTGGGATGCACCGGAGCCCGACAGGTGGTCACGCTGCTGAATGAGCTCCGGCGCAGAGGCAAGAGGTTAGTCCGGTTTCCCCCAGAGGGCCCGGTTCTGGATCCTGTTCTCACTCTGGTTGTTGTGTGCAGGGCATACGGAGTCGTGTCCATGTGCATCGGCACAGGGATGGGAGCCGCTGCCGTGTTCGAGTATCCCGGACCGTAGCGGCAAACACCAGACCAAGACCCGATCGCTGCTATCTGACAACACGCAGCACCTGGAGCGGGAAAGAGCTGGAGGGCTTCTGATTCAGATAACGATTAAAGATGCCGATTCTGTCTTTTACGGCCTGGTGAAAGACTTCAGCTCCGCCTGCTGGCTTTTTCCCCTCCATGCGTTCCCAACATGGACTTCACATCAGAATCGGCTGAAATAAACTGGAAAGATTCTCCAAACATTCTGAGCCATGAACTAAACCGTTCTGGTTCCTGCAGAACCTGCAGCAGAACCTCTGAGCACCTCCTGGATCGGATCCTTTCAGATGCGGAAACCTGATTAAACTAACACCCGTTTCTAATCAGACTGAACATTTAGCAAAATAAAAGCGCTTTACTGCTGGGAGGCTTTTATTGTGACGTAGCTTCAGGAAGCTGAGTAGGCAGTGAGTCTGTTTAACTGGGTTAACTGGTTAACTGGGTTAACTGGTTTAACAGCTGAACTAAACAGAAAAATGTTAACTTCAGAGTTTAAAGTGCCTTTAAAACTGCAGTGCTTTCAAAATAAAAGTCAAATCAAACCTTTAATCTGAAAGAATTCAGATAATAAAACATGTCAACATCAAGTCTGTTTGTGACTTCATCAGGTTTTTCTATACAAGAGTTCACAAATTCATGTCAACAGGAAGTAGTCGTCATGGCTACCTGACCAGGTAAACGTTCCTGAATCTGGAGGATCTACTGGAGCTTCGGTTTCTTCCGAGCCTGAAACTGCTCCGTTTTGGTTTTGATGGACTTAACGAGCAGCGACAGACTTGGGTCCATCACAGTCTTTCTCGCCGAGTCATCGCCCTGCTTTGTTTCTGCAGCCTCCTGTTGGTTGATC